AACTACATTAATTCTACAATGTAGACACAGCCATGTATAGGAAACGAAAGCCAAGTATACTGAGTCAAGAATAGACAGCTTTTCTATTCTTGGGGTTGCTTTATTGTTCAGGCATAGTCTGGGATCTGGCTGTGTGTTTTGATTTCTGTTTAATATGAGATCATCAAACTATAGCACTGGTAGCAAATGGAGCTTTCAAGTTAGGACACAAACACTTGTGTAAACACTAGCATGTTTATTTCCAATGAACACTGCCATGTTTATTTCCATATATTATACTTGTTGTATACACAGTCAAGAAAAGAGACTCTCATTCCAATAATATCACACCAGGTATGATTTTTTTTTACAGCCTCCAAGAAAAAAAAGAGAAAAATCAAGAATATATTCTGTGTTTCATGATTTTTAGGTCTCCTAAAGGAACACTCCGCAATGCACCTGCCATCAGATAACGCAAAGAGTGAAAAGACAGGCTTGAATTGAAAAAGACGCCCCTGAAGGCCTGTCGTCCGTTCACAATGCTGGACTTCCTAGCTGAAAATAATCACTGTGGGCAGGCCATTCTGAGGATCGTCTCTTGTGGAAATGCAATAATTGCAGAATTTCTGAGACTGTCAGAATTCATTCCAAGCGTGTTCCGACTCCGAGACAAAACCGATCAGCAGAAATATGGGGATATCATATTTGATTTCAGCTACTTCAAGGTAAAAATTTAGCTACTCTGAAGAATTCTTTTTAACTTTTCCCCCTCTTCCTGGGTTATTTTATTCTGTAATTAATATTATTTTATTGGTTTAATTTTTTTATAGTTTTTTTTTTTTTTTTTTTATTTTTCACGCTACTTCAAGGTAAGAATTTAGCTATTCTGAAGTATTCTTTTTAACTTTCCCCTCTCTTCCTGGGTTATTTTATTCTGTAATTAAAATGAGCCATTCTTGAAAGAGTATAACAAGACCTCTATATCTGCTAGCACTGTGGTTCCCATACCCTAACTCTGTCCATTAATGGGGATAATGGATTATGACCTGTTAGGATCACTGATCATCGGAGCATAGATCATGAACTGTTGGGTTCACAACCTAATCAGGGTAGCAGAGTTATAGAGGTGTTCCTTTAGTTCAGTGTTTCATTTTTGTGCATGCGCTGTAGCGTCTTTTTGCTTATTTGGCTTTTTAAGTCCCTTCTGCTGTGTTTTTCAGTGTTTTTATAAGTGATGGTCACTTGTTGGCTTGATAAGTGTCTTGTGTCCAAATTTGGTGTCAATTCATCCAGTGGTTTTTGAGTTATGTTAATCCCACAAACGAACATTACATTTTTATTTATATGCTTTATTTTTTCTCCCAAATTAGAGAAAGGAGGTAAACTGCTGAAGGAAATGTGACATATTGTAGCAAGTCCCTTCAAGCCATGAGGGTTCAGTGTGGGAAGTTTTGCCCAATTATATCGTTGGTGGGGTTCAGATTTCTCTTTGATTGTAGGGTAACTGTAAATTCCAGTAACTACAGTTCCCAAATGTCAAGGTCTATTTTCCCCAAACTCCACAAGTGTTCACATTTGGGCATATTGAGTTTTTGTGCCAAGTTTGGTCCATCCATCACTGTTTGAGTCCACAGTCCTTTCTGGACGTAGGTAAACTACAACACCAAAACTCAAGATCAATGCCCACCAAACCCTTCCGGTATCTTATGTTGGTGATGTTCTGCGTGCTAAGACTGGTTCAATTCCATGCTCTTTGGTGGTAGGTGAACTATAAATCCCAGCAACTACAACTCCCAAATGACAAAAACAATCCACCCCCAACCCCACCAGTATTCAAATTTGGGTGTATCTGGTATTTATGCCAAATTTGGTCCAGTGAATGAAATACATCGTGCATCTCAGATATTTACATTACAATTCATAACAGTAGCCAAATTACCATTATGAAGTAGCAAAAAAATAATTTTATGGTTGGGGGTCACCTCAAAATGAGGAACTGTATTAAGGGGTCGCAGCATTAGGAAGGTTGAGAAACACTGCTCTCACACTAGCCGTCCCCTGCCACGCATTGCTGTGGCACAGTCTGGTGATCTGGAAAATAAAGTAATGAGAAAGTGTTTGTTTCTAATATATGTAATGTCTTTATGCTTGTGGGTAAACAGTATTTCTTGTTGTTTCTTTGTCAGTGTTGATGTGGAGAGTGTCTGGTTTGCCTACTCTAGAACATGCAACATATCGTGTCATGGGAGTTCTGGGAGCCAAGTTTGGTTCAGTTCCATCGTTGGTGGAGTCCAGAATTCTCTTTGATTGTAGGTCAGCTATAAATCCCAGCAATTACAACTCTCAAATGACAAAATCAATCTTTTCCCCAAACTCCACCAGTGTTCATTTGGTTATATTGAGTATTTGTGCCAAGTTTGGTCCAGATCTCTCATTGTTTGAGTCCACAGTGCTCTCTGGATGTAGGTGAACTACAACTCCAAAACTCAGAGATCAATGCCCACCAAATCCTTCCAGTATTTTCTGTTGGTTATGGGAGTTCTGTGTGCCAAGTTTGGTTCAATTCTATCATTGTTGG